GGTCTTCTTCTGCCAGTTTCCCACCAAAACATCCTATACTACATCCTATACATCCTATGTTTAATGTTAAACACCAAACTTTTTATTAAAACGTTTTTATTAGCTCGCTCTTGTCCGGAACAAATTTTGCAATCAATTTTATACTAACTTCCCGATGAGCTAGAGAATTGAAACTTGTAACATAGCTCACAAATGGAAGACAATGCAATATTATATCATTTAATATTCATATTTCCCTCGGGCTACGCCCCATGGGCTTGTTTTTATTAACTCACTTTCTTGCAAATTTTGATACTTCCCGATGAGCTAGAGACTTGAAACTTAAAAATAGCTCACAAATGTATGACAATGCAATTTTATATAATTTAATTTTCATATTTCCCTTGGGCTACGCCCCATGGGCTTGTTTTTTATTAGCTCGCTTTCCTACCAATTTTGATATCAGTTCTAAACGAATTTCCCGATGAGCTTGAGACTTGAAATTTGAAACATAGCTCACAAATGGATGACAATGCAATATTATATCATTTAATTTTCATATTTCCCTTGGGCTACGCCCCTTGGGCTTCCAAATTTTCCATGTTTACATTTTGAAAGAATGTAAATATATCAATTAATTTAAGTCAGCTGTATATACTTATATTTGACAGTTCGAAGAGCAGAGGTTAAGAGGTACAGGTTATGCTCCCAAGAGATTCTTTATACAAACAAATACTTCAAAATAAAAATAAACAATCTTTAGATTGCAGATACATATTTTTATGTCAATGTATGTGTGTGTTGTTTGTTTATGTCAATTGTTATTTATTTAGTATTCTCTAAAGTAAACAATAAATTAGATAGATGGATATATTTATAGTTAGTAGGTAGGCCATACATTCAATCTAATACATAATTATATGAAAGTAACTCAACTGAACCTTAGATATTTCACATGCCTCCGTCTTAATCTGATATAGATGCTTGAAATAGATTTAACATCCACACACATTAAAATTAAAAACTAGAAAATAATTTATAAATAAAAAACTTTTTAAAACAAAACGTTTTTTAACGCACTAAAAAGTAGATAAATTTAAGTAAATAAATTATAAATATGTGGAGAGTATAAATACTTGTAAGATTTAAAACGAAAAACGTGGTATGCATGCAATAGATAATTTACAATTACCTTCACCTATTGAACTAATGTATTGTTATCAATTGCATGCACCCCACGTTTTTCGTTTTAAATCTTACAAGTATTTATACTCTCCACATATTTATAAATTATTTTCTACTTTTTAGTGCGTTTAAAAACGTTTTGTTTCAAAAAAAGTTTTTAATTTATAAATTATTATTGTGTATTTCATACAAAAAAAATCCCGGAAAAAATAGATCATAATAAAAAAATATTTTATAATAGTTCAATATTAACATAAATAGATGTTATAATAAAATATGAAGACCTTTATTCCTAACTGGTAAGGGCAAAGTTTTTAACACTCTCCCTAACCATATACGAATTTCTGTTAGTCTCTGAGGATTTGCCAAACGCATTGAGGAGTCTCCTTAAAACTGGTATTTAAGACATATGCATAGTTTATGCATAGTTTACGCTTTAAAACGATACATAGTTATTAACAGTTTGTTTGCATATAGTGGTTATAGATAGTGCAGTATATTGATTGTACAGGACGTGAAAAATATGCACAACAAATTATACCATGAATTGCTTTTAGTGCAGTAAAAATAAGAGAAAAATTCCATAAACCTAAAAAAAAATAGCACAACCGGGGAATTTCGTACAGATGTTGGGTGTACCTTCCTTTTGAACATACTAAAAGTCCCCTAAAATTGAAGCTGTGCTACGGCCGCCATATTGGAAAATGGCGGCTTATTTCTGTATTTTTCGCTATAGTGACTTTATTATTAGAGATACAGGAAAAAGCTAAATGTACAAAATGTAGGTCATCTAAAAATACACATTTTTTGTATTTACCATCTTTCTCTAAACCTAACGGTTTTTTAGTTATTTGTTATTAAGTATATTTAGTTTTTTCTATTTATCAAAAATAGGTGAAACACATGGAAATTGACCGTTACTTTCAAGGATTATGATAATTTATCCCATTTAGTGTGATACTATAAAATCTAAAAATTTTAGCTTATTTTATGAGTAAAACAACTCTGCCACAGCAAACCTGCAGACTCAGCAAATTTCCATTTGATTGGATGTTTTATTAATTGTATTTAAATAAAATTAGATTCAACAGGTACCTAGGTTTGCTGCTACAGGTAGGTTATTATAGTGTGTTTATTTTTTAGTAAAATATCAATAACTTAGTATAAAATAATTAATTTTCCAAGTTTGATCATAATAAATCTATAAACAAACAAACTGCAACAGTTAACTAATTCATAATAATAGCATGGTAGCTTAAGATTTACAATTTACAAATTTAAATATACAAATTTTGGTTGTGTTTACTAAAAATATGGCGATTATTTGTGACGATTCGAATACTAACCGAAGGGGTTTTCAAAAGGAGATGAAGCAAGTAATTTAAGTACTGTAATATTAACTCGTACCAAGTATCAGAAATATTGTATGCAGTGAGGAAATCAACCGTATTTTGTAAACTACGCAATAGTCATATTAATATTTTATACTCATTTTTACCCATTTAATAAATTAACATTTTAATATTTTGATGGCACTACCACTATCACTCTGATATCAACTAAGTGGGATGAATAATTGTCGTAAACCTTGAAGGTAACCGTCGATTGCGAAGGGTTTCACCGATTTTTGATAAATAAAACTAACTATACTATGCCATACTTAATTAGTCACCAACATGAACTAGACACGAAAAACACCCTTCCAAATTTACAATGGGATGTCAAGTATAGTTAGTTGGTGTGGAGGTGCCATCAAAATACTAAAATGTTACTATTAAATGGGTAAAAAATTAAGATAAAATATTAATATGACTATTGCGTACTTTACAAAATATGGTAGATTACCTTACTGCATACAATATTTTCGGTGCTTGGTACGAATTAATATTACCTAAATAACAGGCCCCATCTCCTTTTGAAAACCCATTTAATTAATATTCTAATCGTGACAAATAATCGCCATCTTTTTAGTAAACACAACCAAAATTTGTATATTCAAATTAGTTTATTGTAAATTTAAAGCTCCCATGCTTATTCTTATGAATTAGTTAACTGTTGCAGTTTGCTTGTTTATAGATATATTTTGATCAAACTTGGAAAATTAGTTATTTTATAGTAAGGTATTGATATTTTACTTAAAGAAACACACTATAATAACCTACCTGTAGCAGCAAACCTAGGTACCTGTTGAACCTAATTTTATTTATATACATTTTTTAATAAAACATCCAATCAAATGGAAATTTGCTGAGTCTGCAGTTTTGCTGTGGTGGAGTTGTTTTACTCATAAAATAAGCTTAAATTTTTAGATTTTATAGTATCACACTATTTAACTAAATAGGATAAATTATCATAATCCTTGAAAGTAACGGTCAATTACCATGTGTTTCGCCTATTTTTGATAAATAGAAAAAACTAAATATACTTAATAACAAATAACTCAAAAGCCGTTGGGTTTAGAGAAAGATGGTAAATACAAAAATGTGTATTTTTAGATGACCTACATTTTGTACATTTAGCTTTTTCCTGTATCTCTAATAATAAAGTCACTATAGCGAAAAATACAGAAATAAGCCGCCATTTTCCAATATGGCGGCCGTAGCACAGCTTCAATTTTAGGGGACTTTTAGTATGTTCAAAAGGAAGGTACACCCAACATCTGTACCAAATTCCCCGGTTGTGCTAATTTTTTTTGGGTCAAAACATATTTTTACTGTACTATTTAGCCTTACCTTAATTTTTATTCACTGTTTACTTTCTTTAGTCATATATCATAAAACTAACATGGATAGGATTAATCGGTATTAAATAGGATACTTTGGTTGTTTCATATGTAAACTTAATATTGCTGAGAATTAGTGTAAAACAACCCACACACAGGGATTTATTACCTTAGTCAAAATAGTTGGGCGTTGTGTTTAGGATTAGGAAGTCTGTTGTGTATTAAATTTTTGTATTTCCATGTGTTTCCCTATATGCAAAATTCAATTCACTAAACTAAAGGTTTGAGGTACATTCTTGCTAGTATTTTATAAAGTCAATCACACCTCATTCATTTTAAAATATTAGAGTTTATGTACGTCATGAACAACTTTATCAGTGCAGTGTTAGTTTAGTGTTTTGTTTTGATTGTGTGTGGTTGTAAGTAAAGTGTTGTGTAGTAAAGTTTTTATATATTTTAATATAGTTTTAACTATTGTTTCACTTTGTACTTGATTTTTTTATCGTTGTATATATGTTTTATTCGTAAATAGTTGTTTTCAGTAAGAAGTTTTTTGACTGGCCACCTTTTGAGGGCCAATAAGATTACCGTAATGTGGAATTACTAATTTGCACTCGATAACGGGAGAAGTCGGTCCATTTCCAGAAACATCGTGTAGTTTTAAACACAAGACACGTTGGAAAAGTCCAATTAACAGTAACATTTCAGAACCAACGTTATAATGAATTTTTAAAACTCGCGCTAAGAAACTTATCCGTGGACCTCCATATTAGAAAAAGCTATAATAAAATAAGAATAGTAGCTTTAAAATTCACAAATTCAAAGGTTATTGGTTTCATGTCACGTAAAATTATTTGTATACAACAATTTCAACTGTTATAATTATAAAATTAACAAGCATTTTGATGTTACCCTACGTGCATTTTATATTTGATAGAATCAGTTACATTTTATTAGGTAATCAGTAGTTTTGTGATGTATAATCGTGAATTAAATATTATAATGTAAAAAAATTACTGAAATAGATTTTCTCAGGTAGGGGAAAGGAGGTCGGTCAGATTGTCATACTTCATCATCTGATAACCATAAAGCTTATCGGTTGTAATGGCTCACAATGATTACAATTATTACACTGCTTGTTGTTCTGATACAACTTTCTTCCTCCCAACTCAATGGTATGTATTTTACGTTACTAATTGGTATTTATGACTTTATAAACTCTGGATGGCTGTTTTAAAAGTGGTATAGCAACAAGAAATAAAAACTATTGATTTACTTACTTATTTTTATTAACTTACAGTTTTTAATTTTAATTCTTATTGTATAAGTTTTTGGTAAGACTATAAATAGATGAACGGAGAATAATGTATCATCTTAATGTTCTAAATCTTATCTAAAAAAGTGTTTATTGCATGATGTAATTTAAAAAAATTTGAATAACTAAGTTTTTATTGCTGAAAAATTTAAGATAAATGCCATACACGTGAAATTCTTTTAGGGAAAAAAGAAGATGGAATTCCTGAGGGCTTTGCTGTATACACAAGCCTGGATAAACTTCTCGATTTCTTCCGGAATCAAACGGTGAGTTCCCAACAAGATATGATTAGTGGATTTATTTCGAAATTTTGAAAGATTTCTTTGACTTCTTAAAATAAAACTCATGGTTAGGATGAACTTAATTGTCCTTGAAGGATGACTATCCCAAATACATTTTAAAAGAACTTTTTTACTCTGTTTTTATAGAATATATGTACACATAATTACAGATATTAGAACTTATATTCTGAAAATACTACTTGCAACAAAACAATTTCATATGGTATTATATGTTTTTCATCTTGGAATTAAGCACATTGTTCTCTTTTATTTGTTTGTAAAAAGTATTTGTACAGTAGGGGCAACCAGTGTTTTCAAAATATTTTTTCCTTGTTGTTTAGTAATTTCTTCTACGTTCATTTTACATATCCTACGTCAAAAATTAATTGTATCAGTGTTTAACATCACATGTAAAAATATTCAATTAAAAGATTTTAGCGACACAAATATTAAACAATAATCTTTTAGGTTTTCTTTTTTACTATTTTAGTTAAATACTCGTGAAAATCCCAAGCAATTAATACGTAATATTCCCTAGGATCCCATCGCCAAAGACATTGTGGAGACTTTTCTCAGGGACTGTGTTTACCCTGGCATCCACGACGGGACCAGGAATGCTCTCATGAAACCCGTCATAGTTATGGAGGGAAACCATCGCTCTAGTGAGTAGACCTACAGTGCTACTTAACTATACACCTAGATATAATATGGGTAATGTTTGCCTTTTAACTTACAATGCATATAGTTATTTGTGGAGGATTAGAAATGCCGACGCACCCTTGCAACAGCAGATTGGGACTCACACCACCCACAACCTCTAATCTCAGAGGGCTGTGGCCAATTATCTTGATCTCATTAATGACTAGTACGGATTTAATATAGCCAATCGAAATCAAACTACTCACTTAGGGGAGACCACGACAAGTATGTCGCAAAAGTGTTTTCCATTCTTTGTACCCACGGAGTATGTATTAGTTTATACTGTAGTGTCGGGTAAGACGACGATTTTAAATGCGAGAATAGCTTATCTGATGATATGCAAATAAATTGATCTGAATTTCCAGTACAAACATTAGAGACAATCAGGAATCTGTATTTTTCTTAAACTGTGGAGTTAGTCGACGAATCAATGGGGAGCTGGCAAAATTTGGTCTTAAAGTAGTTAAGATTTTCATATCAGTAAGCTGACCTTCTGTAGTTTCTCACTCTGCATCGGAATCGGTCCCGTCCAACAATATCTCGTCTCCGTCGTCCAACTTTTCGACAAGGTCTCACTAGCTTCTCAGCAACAACCGTGTTGTATACCTCTTCCCTCTCCAGATAAACATACGGGATGGTATAAAAACACAATCAGCAGCTAGTAAACTGAGTAATTCCCAAATGTGACTCACGTAATGTCCGTCTCAATATGCATTAGCTAGTTCCTAAGGCATAAACCCTAACCTTAAGCTCCGCGTAGGCAAACCGAGCTTACTAGGTAACTTTTCGATACATAATAGACATCCTATCCATATGGACCAGATGTAGCCTATTTGATATTAAAAAGAACATTGTTGAATGGGCCGTTTACAGAATGGGCTGCAGTATAGAATTCTATTAACTCCCTATATTTTTGTGAGTGAGATACTTTCTGTGGCATGACAGATTCTGTAGCGTACAATAAGTTATCCTATCAGTTAGACTTATTTAAAGAGGTGGCGAATTCAACAAAAATCTGTATCTTACAACATAACTTTCTGTCGATATCTCATTCCCTCAAACTTCTGTTTTATTTTAGAACTAGTAAAAACCTGATCATTGGCATATACCATGTACTTCTATCAGTAGTACTTACTTACTTATCGGCTCCCCAGTGGTGTTCTTTTTATATAAACGCCCTTTGAATACGAAAAATTGGATATCAAACAGACCATCAAGGGATTTTATGTGTTTACGTAGTAAACATAATAGTATAGAGAGACTATAATAGTAACAGAGAGGCTCTATTAATTACATGGGAATTTTTTTAGATTTTAAGATAGTCATTAAAGTAGTAAACAACATCTAGCATTTTTTCTTATTCCAGTAAAACACATTTTCCCCAAATGCTTAACTCTTCGTGGCAAAATGCCTGAGCTCATGGGCTATTACTTGATAAAATACTCTAATTTGCTCACCATCAAATGACAAATACGAAAGGGCTTTTGCCAAGAACAGTGGCCAAAACCTATCATACAGTGAAATAAGTCTTAAATATATATATATCAGGAATATTACGATTTATACTTTTGTAATGAAAACAATAAACTAATTTTAGATTGTTTTGGGCTAAAATATAATTAACTACAATAACCTTATTGAGACACACTATGAAAGCCCTTTAATATGAATAACCTTTCGGGCCCCTAGTAATTTGATGATAACTGGGGCTTAATAAGTGGAAGAGGTTTTGAGTCACTTGTTGAGTCATACTGTCTGTCACGTATTAAAATTGTGACTATACAAACTTATCATTAAGTTGCTTATGCAAAAGTCGCCTGAATTTGACCTTGTATTCATAATGAGCATTATTATACAAACAGAGGTTTCAGAAGAAGAAAGAGTAAGAAAGAGTTCTTGGTTAGTTTGGTTTTGATTCTTTTAAATCACATCATAGACCAAAGTAACCTGTATACAGGGCTGGCAAAAATATGGACACCTCCAATTAGTTGTTTGTATTGGTTACACCATGAAACCAAACTCTGCACAGCTATATAGGGTATAAAAGTACACTTTTTTGTTAGTATCCTAACTTAGTCCGGAACACCAAATTAGGTATTTTGGGTGCAGTTTTTAAAATGTTAAACAACAAGCCTCATGATGTTATTACTAGTTTTAAACTAGCTAGATTTAAACTAGCTTTAGTATCAGTTTGATGTTTTTCTGTTCGCAGGCAGAGACATAATATCCATGGGGCTCGCAGAGATCATGAACGCCAGATACCTGATACACCCGGCCCCGTGTATATACAAGTTCCACACACTCATACCCAAGGGTACATTGCTGCGTCGGGCTTTCTACCTTCTCTCGGACTACGCGGTCTCATACTACGCCAAGGCTAACTTCAACCGACCGATCGTCATCAATGGGTAAAAGTACTAGAAATATATGTATATTTAAATAGGTATATATATATCAACATCAACAAAAGTTAAAAATTTAAATTAAAAAATTAAATAAAAGTAAAATGTTTATACAAATAATATAAATGAATAAAATACTTAAATATATACAGTTACGATTTACGTTTTTTTTTTTGCTGAAGACTAGAAAAGAGTTTTACATTTTATGTGGTTAATGGTTTCGTAAGCATTTTGTTTGTTTAGGTATTGGACGGAGAAGATGGCGTTCGCAATGTCACACACCTACACAAATGAGACCATTCCTCCATTATCATCTGACGTGTTCAAATGGCCAGAAGGTCTTCTCAAACCTGACTTCATATTTTATCTTACATTCCCGGAGGCACTTATGTCAAAGTTTGCGACCACGAGGAGTCCTCAAATATGGAAGAGAAGGTACAAGTTAAATCTTACACTCGTTGAAATATTTCAGTTGTACGTGAAACATACTGCTATCTTGCGTTCATTTTGCAATAAAAAATCACAAATCTTTTGCAATAATTAAACAAATATATTTTCCTACAGTCACTTGACAAAGTGGGCTTCCTTGCATTGATTATAGTACAGTAAGTTGCTAATTGCTGCATTTACTTACTTTTGCCACACTCTTTTTTTTATTTGCCACACTTTTTTGCCACACGCCAGCATTCCAACCAAACAACACAATATAGCGTGTTTTTATTATGCACGTAATCCGTGTGCGCTTAGATATAGGTTGGCAGCACTTAAAGATACAAAGACTACGCTGTTGCAGTGTTTCCCATTTCGTTCAACGCTTGGATTTAGCCTACCCTTAAACGTGTTGTAAGTGTTTGAAAGACTGATTATTTCTATGCTTTATAATAACTGTAGGAAAAATATAATGTGTGACACGAGTGCAAATTGCCTTTGCCTACTAGTTACACAAACAACTATAGAGCTAATAAAATTGAAAAAGTCAACAAAATAACTGAATAACATAACACCATAGGCTATTAACGAGTGTGAGAGTAAAGCAATGTGAACGTTGAGCTTTTGTGTACGTCCCCTCTGGCTACAGGAGACATACGGTCAGCTCGGCGTGAGAGAATAGAGCTTATCCACCTGTAAATATTCATTTTTACGTTATCTTGCACACGACAACTGCATTATACGAGTGTGAGAATGTGAATGTTGAGCATTTGTGTACGTCCCCTCAGGCTACAGAAGACATACGGTCAGCTTGGCGTGAGAGAGTACAGCTTATCCACCTGTAAATATTTAACTTTACGTTATCTTGCACACGACAACTACATTATACGAGTGTGAGAATGTGAATGTTGAGCATTTGTTTACGTCCCCTCAGGCTACAGGAGACATACGGTCAGCTTGGCGTGAGAGAGTACAGCTTATCCACCTGTAAATATTTAACTTTACGTTATCTTGCACACGACAACTACATTATACGAGTGTGAGAATGTGAATGTTGAGCATTTGTTTACGTCCCCTCAGGCTACAGGAGACATACGGTCAGCTTGGCGTGAGAGAGTACAGCTTATCCACCTGTAAATATTCAACTTTACGTTATCTTGCACACGACAACTACATTATACGAGTGTGAGAATGTGAATGTTGAGCATTTGTTTACGTCTCCTCAGGCTACAGGAGACATACGGTCAGCTTGGCGTGAGAGAGTACAGCTTATCCACCTGTAAATATTCAACTTTACGTTATCTTGCACACGACAACTGCATTATACGAGTGTGAGAATGTGAATGTTGAGCATTTGATAACGTCCCCTCAGGCTACAGGAGACATACGGTCAGCTTGTCGTGAGAGAGTACAGCTTATCCACCTGTAAATATTCAACTTTACGTTATCTTGCACACGACAACTACATTATACGAGTGTGAGAATGTGAATGTTGAGCATTTGTTTACGTCTCCTCAGGCTACAGGAGACATACGGTCAGCTTGGCGTGAGAGAGTACAGCTTATCCACCTGTAAATATTCAACTTTACGTTATCTTGCACACGACAACTGCATTATACGAGTGTGAGAATGTGAATGTTGAGCATTTGATAACGTCCCCTCAGGCTACAGGAGACATACGGTCAGCTTGGCGTGAGAGAGTACAGCTTATCCACCTGTAAATATTCAACTTTACGTTATCTTGCACACGACAACTGCATTATACGAGTGTGAGAATGTGAATGTTGAGCATTTGATAACGTCCCCTCAGGCTACAGGAGACATACGGTCAGCTTGGCGTGAGAGAAAACAGCTTATCCACCTGTAAATTTTCAACTTTACGTTATCTTGCACACGACAACTGCATTATACAAGTGTGAGAATGTGAATGTTGAGCATTTGTTTACGTCCCCTCAGGCTACAGGAGACATACGGTCAGCTTGGCGTGAGAGAGTACATCTTTTCCACCTGTAAATATTCAACTTTACGTTATATTGCACTCGACAACTGTATTATACAAGTTTTAAAGTATTATAAACGTTGAGTATTCATGTACTTTGGGTACTTACATTGTTTTACTACTACTATTTCTTTTTACACTAAAATACAAGAATATCCACCAATAGTATATGTCATAGCAAATTTAGATGGTGAGTCAATACATATGAGACCGTATTTTTTAAATTGCTAGATTTATCGAGAGGCAATAATATATATTTGCTACGGCTTATATGGTTCTATTACTGTGAAATCTGTTTTCGTTATACACGCTTATCACCTGTAAAAATTCATCATTACATAGTTTACTACGCAAAAAGAATGTTTACCATGCGAAAGTAATGTTTACTATCTTTTTTGGGATTTTGCCGAAATTTGTACTTTAAATGAAATTCTAACCTAAAAAATGGTATTAACTTTTTAATGTCCACAACTGTTACAAAGAAATATTACAATGGCAATTTGTAAATTATAAAAAAGTGATATGGTGTCAAATATGTAATGCCTCACTTTCTACTCTTTGTATGCAATATACTATTTAAGCTCTTTACACTATTACTCTATAGTAACATATCAAAAGAGAAAACAAAATTAGATACATTTAAAATTCTGTTGCTTTTTGGTATTCGTTTTTTGTATGACCTGAATTTACTTTTAAGTTAATTGCGTACCCTATTTTTTTCTTAGTGCTTTGTGTTAAGTAATATATTATATTATATTCTTTTTTTTATATAGAATGATGTTTCTAATACCATAGCCTGGTTCCATAGGCAGTATTTTAACCACAGTTTCATGAACACTGTTTTGTTGTATCTAGCTCATTCATGTTAGCTTTGCACGTGCTAATGTCTATCGTTTGTGGCAGGATGCTGCAAGTGTACGAGTACATGAGTCAACGACACCCGATAGTCATCACGGAGATCAAATCATTGTTCAAGCTGACAACCGAAGATATCCATAGACACATCAGACAAAACTTCTACGATAAGTTCCAGAATATGACGTTTCACTGACCAAACCGTAAAATTTAACTTTCAATTCTAAAATATTATGTCTGTTAGCACAAGAAATGTTCCATTTGCTTAATCGTAATTGTAATAATACAAAACAAATTTTTACTCAACAATTGTCATTATGTGAATATACAATTAATTTACAAATGACTTCATTATTTTTACTATTGTCATTTTGTCTTTAAGGCTTACTTAACATATTTACTTAAGTAGTCAAAATTAAATGAAACACCATTAGTCATCAAAGAGCTTTGGACAAAAGAAGTATTCATTTTTATCACAAAACAGCTTTAACAAGCTCAAACGAATTCGCTTATAATATTTTCTGCATCACAAACGTCCGTAATGGAAATTTCTTCTCAGAGCTCAACCTTAGTAATCAACTAAACATATCAAAGACAGTTTTGCAGAGTCGAACTGGTCTCTGTTGAGCTTAAGCTAATTTGACTTGAATGAGAAAATGTCTGCAATTCCAAAGTACTTTCATTTTGTACCAACAATAAGATAAAATCATCTTTACATTTTATTTTAATGAAATTGCTCTTGAAGTGCTGCACAAATTCTATCAATCTGTATACTATATACAATAAAGGTATGGATCTATTTGCTATACAATAAAGGTTTTCTCTGTTCAGTCACTCCTCCCGTTTTCAGCCCTACTTCAGTCCCCATAGCTTTGATGTATATATCGAGTTCACATATTCAGTGATTGGGAACAACATTCATAACAAATGTAAATTTAAATTTGTACCGATTATCCTGACATTTAATCACAGTCAGATAGTTAGCAATATACCATTAAATATGCGTGTATGTGGTATGTGGTTATTTGTGTCTCTAGACCCTAACTAATAGCATAAAATGGTTTATATATACATGAAATTAAAGATTAAGTTTTACCATAGACTGTATCTATAAGTAAATAAGCCTAATGTTTTTAATACATAAATGGCTCTGCCGTTGGAATGTATAAATAAATAAGTAAATTAGCCTATACAAACTACTTTTATTTCCGCAGACAACAGCATTTAGAAATTTTGGAATGTAACATAGCAATTATTTCAGATACGCTATTAGTTACTTTGATGGACTTGGCCTACAATTCATTTTTGAACCTTTTTTACCTTGAAATTTAGCTATCAATTATCTATACATAATTATTACGCGTATAATTAATACGCTACATGAAACTTTTTCGGTTGAACTACTCAGCCGTTTCTTAACCGATTTTATCCATTGACGTCTCATTGGAAAGAGCGTGTCGCGTAGATTTGCAAACTGACCTTACATTTTTGAAAATGTCCCTTGGGCTCTGCCCCAGTGGCTGTTAAAATTCTCATGTTATCCTTATGAAGAACGTAATTGTTTACATTTTGATCAGCTGTATAATATAATTGCTGTTATTTATTTTTCATTTCAATGAAACGCATTGGTTACATTTACTGATTTTGTTGAAATTAAATATTTACTTTTTTAATTTATATTCGTACATATGACAATGTAAAAAAATAGAAAGCCTGGACAATTTGATATATTTTACCAATTAAGAAAAATTAATTGACATAGTACTGTATTTCTTGAGAAATCATTGAAAGAACTGATTTGTTAACCATGGAAACATAGCAAAGTCATAGAACGCCACCAAGTAGAAGAAATTGAGATTAAAAAAAAATTGACTATCGTTATCAACCTATATAATGAAGAACACCTACAGCTTCAATATGAAGATTCCCAAAAACAATGAACAAGGATGTTAGCCGAAGTGCTACTATTTTGTAGGAAACGCGGACTTAACTTTATGGTGATTGGCAAAGGAAACCCCAAGCCCCTCTAAGTCTGAATTAAACAGGTACGGCAAGGACATTAATCATTAAATATGTGTTTTCATAAAACTCAAGTGATTTTAAAAGAATGTGACTACATCCAAGAAACCTTAATAAAACTCTCATTGAAGGATTCGCATTATTCACATTTAAGGGAAACAAAAAAACCATCTGTACAACATTAGGCCTTTCAATTCTACATTTCTTCGGGTAAATATAATTTACGATATAACAGTAACCAGCCAAATGAATGCCAATTGATGCAAATAAAATTGTGACAGAGAGGTTATGCAGAAAATCAGGTAGTTCTTAGTCATGTAAACAAAATGTTATCGCTATAAAAAATTGACTGAAATTTGTAAACGTACTGGCGACAATGGGTGGTACCATGCAGACTACATTATCATTAACGAAGATCAACACGGACAACATATTACGGCTATAAGTGGGAAACATTTAAAAAACCGGATCAGCTTTTGAAAAAGATAAAATATTTACAAGAAATGTTTTTATATGGAACTGTTAGGTACGTAATCTATGAGTTGAGTCTTTTAAACTCATCGGAAATTATGATGACTTTTATTTGTTTTTAAATAACTACGTTACTTCTTTGCAATTGCTCGATTTCAAGCAACGTGTACACTAGTCATTAATTATTAAATTCTACTGAATAAGTAAAGACCTAAATTGTAATATTCTTACAAAGGCTAAATATTACATTTTAAACAGACGGGGAAATTAATTTATTCTGCTCATTTGCTATTATGCTCATCTATTAGGCCTATATTATTTCAATCCAATTGGTTTATACGCGTGTTCAACTTAACAGTAAACAACGGATGCTGATATAAAAATTACATGAGAGTGGTTATTTTTTTTAGAAGGTTGTTTTGGGTCCTTGCTTGTTATTCTCTAAAAGAAAATATTTGTTTTATTTTCTTACAAACACCAAAATGTGTACTAGCTTTTATATTCAAATTTTGTTATTATTAATTTTTGTTATTTAACATTATTTTATTATTTAACTCTTTTACAGAAAATATAGACTATTTTGCAAACTAAACTGTTTCTGACTTATTTTGAGTTAATTAATAAAATGTTACGTAATAATAATATTTTGATGTTAAGTTGCTACGCCACCTGGTTCAATTAAGTTATTGTCTATTATCGTCTCTAAAAATGGTGTTTCCAAAATATTTCGTTTGAATTTTTATAACTGATGGAATTGTTTTTCCCGTGATCTGCCAGAAAATAAATAAATTCTTTAAACTGAACTCGTTAAACTCCTACACAATAATTATTATTGTTTCTTCTTAATACTTGAACACTATTCATCAACCGATTAGCAATAATTATGATCAAAGATAGAAATTATCAATGGATGCGTTCTATATTTACACAATCTGAAGTAATAAACAAAAGGGTAGAACCTTTAAAGCTATTACTCAAAAGTGCTTAAGAGTTAGAGCAACACTGTGGTAGCAATAATGGAGAATCAAGGAAGGTAAATTAAAACCTGATTGATTTTGTAATGTTCAGAAATACAAGAAAACTAGACAAAACATTGAACTTAAACTTCAACTTCTATGACGTCAGCTAAAATCAGTATGGCACATCCTGTAATGTGGATGTAACTAGTAGAATACCGTCTATTCAAATTACAGTGTTCCATTTCTAGTTGGACATGACGAGCTCCTTAATAAAACCTATATGTGGACAACATAACGGTACCAAGACGAAATTTACGATTACTTTACCACCCAATAATCTAACAATATGAGAAGTTTCATTGTTTTCTTACAAAAACATAAGAAACGCAAACAGCTCAGCGTTGATAAACAAGAGAGTTTGTATTCGAATTTTCTTACTAAACAAACGTAGGCTATATTTCGCACCAAAATTGTTTGTAAATTAAATTGCAATAGTCTTTAGGAGTTTTGAGTATTGGATAAAAAGTCATTTATTACTTTTTTCCATCTACCATTGCTAACTATGCTAACTGTGCATGAGAAACATTAATGATTTTTTTCATCGAAAAGGAAAAATTCATAACACTACGGGGAAACAATACGTGATTTAATAATTTATCTTTGAAGTAGTCAGGGTAAATTACGCTACGAATACTTTCATTGAAACCTGTCGTGACAACCTTCATTGAATTCTCTCTGGTTGTCAAAACAGTTACTTGTGTCAAGGGAATTGGTTGTTGACTTCACAGGAGGAATTTTAACTGGTGATGATTTTATGAAAAACTCAAATTTTTATTTGTTATGTACCTGCCGAGAATTTCTTGTTTGTTACTTAAAATTAAACTATTATAATACATGATTCAAAACCAGACAGTAAAATAGACAACAGCTTCAAAGAACATAATTGAGTAAATGAAGGAAAATCCAAGCTATCCATGCATAATTATTGCAATTACCTTTGTGCCGAACATTTCACAATAACAACTCCCAATGTACTATCATCAAAGTTTGAAAAAATATAATTTTCCCTAAATAAATATTGTAAAAAAAAATAAATAAATAAACGCCCTTAATTTTAACTATTATTTTAAGGCTTATGTAATTTAAAAGTAGAATATGGCGTGCTAAGAGGTATAACAACTTATGCATAATTATATGATAATTACCTCCTCCTTGACTGAGACCGACAGTGTCGGAAAGATTGCGCCAAATTAAACCCTTTCCTATGGTCCGATCATGACTGTTCATGAACTCATTCTAATAAACGTAAGTTTACACGTTTGTACCAAATTTTGTCCACATCTGATCATTTATACTCGAGTTGTCGTGATAAGGTACACACAAATATATGTGCACCAGCTGTTAACCGCGGGCTTCGCCCCATTTGGCTACATAGGTATTAATAAAACTTTTGATCCCCGTACCTGGTTTAGGGGGCATTTCGAGTGGCTTTTAATGGTTACTTCGAAGAACAACATTGGACTTAATAAGCTGTCGGGGCAGAGCCCTAGGAGGATATTAAAATAAAAGATGACTATCTCCATTAAGCCTGTGGTTATATTGGCTCAATTCTTTAAAAAAAGTCAGCTCAATTGGTCAAATTGTTTTCACGTTATTGGCATACTGTACTCCAAACATTCATATCTATAATATTAGTTCCTTCCATTGACTTGATCAGTTAAGGAACACGCTACTCCGTTTCCCAGATAGTATTTTTGGGGAAAACAAACACGGCACTTGTTTTTAAACATTTGGGGAAAAAATAAGTTGATGAATCTTTTACTCAAATTAAAATTACACTATTCGCACAATACCACAACAATTTATTATTTGACAGATCTCATAGTGTATCACAGTTTTTGTTGATGCTTTCTTTCAAATTAGCTGTTATCATAAATTAAAACAAAAAGTTAATAGAGTTTCCTTAATAGAGGGGGCTCCTTAATAGAGCACCCTGTTGGTAAACCTTGGAACTTTATAAAGCTATTAAGCACCATAGAACCAACTTGTTTAGTTAAAACTGCTGTTAAGATTCATTCATTTATTTTAAATATGAAAAATCATAAGGTTCACATGGGAACTCCAGAGCCGTTGGGGCGGAGCCTGAAAGTCAAATCAGAACAAAAACTACTTAGTTTTCCTATTTAATATCTAAAGGATCAGTGTACCAAATTTCAGTCTTCTAGGTAAATGGGAAGTAGTAGAATTAGTGATGAGTGGGTCTTTTGAAAT